GAATATGTTGGCTGCTTCTATTTTTTTTCTACTTAAGTCACATTGCAGAATTTCTTTGTGTGCACTTTCTCTATATTTTGGATTACTCCCCTAGATTAGAAACCTAGAATTAAAATTGGGAGGTCATAGACACATATTTTGTGAGAAGCCAATGCAACACTTTTGTTTATTTTATCACAAAGAAACAGCTCATTAATTGATTTATTGAACATTTAACATACCCCATGCCTCCCAAATGCTGGCTATGCTATCTGTAAGACCACAACTAGTGCCACTTACCTAAAATATACCATGTTTTAATGGGTGTTGACATATGTTGTGTCAGAAACAAGCATCTCATACTAACTACACTTGGTGAGAATGCTTCTGAGATGTTCTGGACAGAGTAAGAAAACTTTAAAATTATTAAAAAATACTCTTGAGGATAAAGATTGGCATTCAGAGCAATCTCAGAATAGCCTTGGTGTGAACATTTTTTCTTCTTTGCCAATTCATTAAATCACTTTTGATCATTTTAAATGGATATTTCTCGAGTACTAATGAGGGCAAACATTTCTCCATATCTTTAATAATGATTTATTTCATCTTTGGGAAGTATTCCTTGACTATTTCTCACTTGGCATTTAGTATTTATACAAAATAGATTTCCCGTAATATATTTGTTGCAAATAATGTACTGACTTTTATTTTAATTTAAAGAAGTTTTATTTTAATATTGTTCAACCTGCCAGGCATTTTCTTTGTAGAAACTTATAAGTTTCAAAAGTAGACTTGACCTTTCTAAAAAAGTGTATAAATAATAAACTTCATTTACCTTTATTTTTATGTTGTGTTTTATTTGTATTCACATCTATAATGCATCTGGAATATATATCTGCTTCTAATGGGACACACTTGATTTCCTTTCCAGCAGTGAGGCTATTATTTCAATAATTAAGCAATTCCTTTCTGTTTCATTCGTGTGTAGTTCTTACGTTATTATACTGAATTGAGATTTCTTTTTTCTGTCCCCATGTCCTGTGTCCATTTATATCAATTGCTGCTGCAATGAAAATAGCTATTAATTTTTCCCCATCAAACTTAATGGGAGGAGGCAGAAATTGCATTGTCCTCTGAGTAACTAGCCTCATGCGTGGCACCACAGGTATTGTGTATTTGTTGAATGGAAGAATGCATAAAATAGAATGTTTCTGGGACACCCATATTTTTCCAGTAATTTGTACATCATTCCCAAAGCCATTTCAGCACTGTGTTAAATGTTGTGTCACAAAATATATTTTATCAGTAGAGCAAAACCTCTTCTTAATATTCATGGTCAGACTTTTGTTATGATACACAACTCACTCTTCAAATGAACTTCAGAAAATTTTAATGGGCTCTAAAATTAGAGAGTTTATTTAAATAATGTTAAAAATATGAATTAATTTTTGAAAGAATTGATATTTTCATTGTAAATATTTTCCACTCATTCATGTGTTATATATAACTCCCTATTTCTCTTTACAACTTTTCATAATTTTCTTTACAGAGTTATTCATAAATATTTTATCAGTTTTGTTGTAACTGCTGTTGTGATTCAGGCTATTGCTGCTCATATTAGGATTTGTATTCTTGTATTTTTAAAAATTTACTTTCTATTATGTAGAAAAATTATTGTTGCAAATTTACTTAGCATCCTGGGAGTTTTCTTGAATTATTTCATTTTTTTCTAATAGAAAAAATTTGCATTTTTTTCCATTAAACTGACCATGGTGAACATAATGTCATTGCCAGCTAAATTCTGCCTTTCCTGTGCAATAAGGGATGGGAATTAGGCAGCAAAAATAAGATTTAAAAATTTCCATTTGCAAATTGGATTGACTTTTACATCTATTTAACAGACACTTTAATGGCAGTCTGTGAGACAAGTATTTACATGCTGGACCTTTTAGGGGAAAAAATGTGGTGTGGGTTGTTTTAGAACCCACGAGGCCCTCCATATTGCACAATCCCCTGATTTGCATGGCATCCCCCTCTGATCTCTACTCAATTCCAGCGTTTGGCATGACATCCCCAGCCTCACCCTGAGGAGGCCCTCAGTCACCCAGGCTGTCCCCAGTCAACAGAGGCATCGGGACCCAGTCTCTTCCATGATATGTAAAAGCAAATAGTCAACCTTAGGTTAGCGCTTATCTATCACACCACGACTGTTGGTAGAAGGAGAGACCAGGTGTTCTGAATGCCCCCGTCGGGGCCACAAAGGCAGTTGGTACAGGGACCAAAGAATGCACCAATAGGTACCACTTTGCTTTTTTTTTTTTAATGTGCCACACTCTAATCCTAAACAATAACATTCAATTCAGTGTAACATTGTTTAAAATACAGTTTTGCTCTAATTTTTAAAGGTAGCTTTTGTGTCTTAATTGATGATTTAGTACCCTAATTGATAATTTATTGTGAAGGTAATGATAAGCATTAAATGAGGCTTTTCGTTGCATTAACTCTGTGGGATGTTTATTTAAGGGGTACCTGCTCTTCAGTAGGTTTGAGTAAATATTGGTTCTTGCTACATGATGGCGCTGACAAGTGATGAATAACATCCTAATGGAGATAAAATAAGTATGAAAGGCTAAGGCTCATGTAACAGTTGATTTTTCTGCACCATAAACTTTTGGGTTTTTTTGGACTTGCACAATTTTCCTATTTGTATTCAATATATTTATTCAGTGCTGCATAAGGGATACCCCTTTCTCTGTATACTTTACTTGCATTTTGAAATTTTATTCAAGGACTTGGATACAATAGACCACGGTAGATTATGTTGACCTCTGTATGTCCACACTGTTTATAAGATAGACTCACCAACTTTGCAGATGTAATGGCAACTCAAAATATCAAGAGGAGATACATAATCTGTTCTGGTGAGAAGATCAGACCATGCAATGTGCTGTGTATATAACGGGGAACAACGCTAAGTGTTGGGTGGATTTGAAAAGGATAAGAGATAAATTATGGTTCTGTTCAAGTTTTAGAACAAAGCTAATCCCAGACACCTAATAACCATGGGTAAGTAGCTGTCTTTGAAAAACCTATGGAATAAAAGCTTGATATTGCAAATGTGTGACTTTTCTATATAACTGCTATATTATTTTTCTGCTTTCTGTTTAACAATTAATAGTTTACTTTTTTTAGTTGCAACTGAGTGGCTACTTTCAAGCTTTCAAACTTATATAGTGTTTATCTTGGAAGCTCTGCATCAGTTGGACTCAAAAAAATGAGAAATTTCAGGAAAATTGGGGATGAAGTATTTTGTTTTCTCCAAATTAGTCTAGGCCTGGTGTGATTTAAGGTTTGCTGTTTGTCATTCTATCTCTCTATGTTAAAAACCACATAGCATTGGCTGTCTGTATCTCTGGGTTCCTCATTTTTGGATTCAAGAAATGGGATGTTGAAAATATTTTTAAAAATTTTCACCTGTACTAAGCATGTGCAGACTTTTGCCTAAACAATACAGCATCACAAATATTTATTTATCAGTTACATTCTCATAGGTAGTATAAATAATGTAGGGATGATTTAAAGTATAGAGACGACATTCCTGGAATATCTGTGAGTATTCCACCACTCTTGTAAGGGACTTGAATATTTCAGAGCTTGGTATCCAGAGACAGTCTCAGAACCAATTTCTCATGAATATCAAGGGACAACCATAGAACGGAGAGAGATATATGATAATGTGAAGGAGAAAATCTTGTGTCATATCTACTTTATTGATGTGAATGGAAGAATAGTGGTTCTGGGATAACTTTACTTCAAAAAGTTATTATTCTTTTTTGACTTGTAAGATGAAACCTTTGTAATTGATAACAAATTCATAATTTAAAAGCTAACATTTCTGTCAATAAAAGTGAGGAAAAGGACCAGGTAGCATTTTAAAATACACGTATTAAATGCCACATAACAAATATTTTGATTAAAAAAGAGCATGGCAAGGGAATACAAAGTTCAAACTCAGCCCAGATCATTGTGCTCAAATTCAAATATGGACACAAACTAGCTGTGGGAGTCTGCCTGAGATACCCCACTTTTCTTTGCCAAATTCTCGACCTATACATGGTGGGTAAAAATAGCACATACCTCATAGAGTAGTTGAATCACAGGTCCCTGAGACAACCCTCAGGCTCAGTGATTTGGTGGAGACACCTCTGAAACTCAGAAAAATAGTCATGTTTTACTATAGTGAATGGACACAGATTAAAATCAGGGAAGGGAAAGCACTCATGAAGCAAAATCCAGGAGCAAACTTCCAGGTACTCTCTACCAGTCAAGTCACATAGGGACACACTGAGAGGTATCAGCAAAGGCTGTGACGTGTGTGAAGTGGGCAATTCAGCAGAGCTTGGTGGAGTTCTGGCCTCCGGAGTTCTACTGGGGGTGAGTCACATGAGCGTGAAAAGATGAGAATGACTGACCTCATCTGTCCTGTTTCTTCAAGCAAAAGCCGGTGTTTAAATCACATAGCAGAATCAGCTTATCTGGTTAAACTAGAACAGCATAGACTAAAGCCTCCTTTGTACAGAAACACTCTTATCAGGCAGAGTGTTGCAAGAGGTCAAAGCCTGTCTCCCTGGAGCCATCCCAAGGTTAGTTCTGAAGACAGGCCTTCCTTTGGAATATGCAGGGTTTAAGTAATGCAGAGCTACCCAGTGGTTATGAAGAACAAGTGTGTCAACCCATCCAACTTAAGAATTGCACCTGGCATAGAACAGGGCCTGGAACCCTAGAGCAGGAAATAAGGTCAGTTAGAATTCTTCTAGCAAGGTTTATGAGCTGAATGAGGCAGATTAATTTGTATTAGAAATAAATGGCCATGTTCCATGGATCTTGTGACAATGGTAAGTTCCCAAATTTGTAATGACAAGCATTATAAACATATTGAATAGTGTGTTTTTCAGGCTTTAATGAGAAAAGTTTTCTGTGAGACATCAAATCTTAACATTTTGTTCTTTCATCTTTTGCAGGGCCCTGAAAACAGCAAAACAATTATCAAAGAGCAGAGCTGTGGAGGAATACAGCATACATCAGGTAGAGGAGGCGTTTCTAGTAATTAACACATGACATTTATTTAAAGTGATAACTAATTCAAGCTAATAGGGCCATTGTTAACAAAACATTTTGTAGTAATGCCTTAGAATAAGTGTGACTGCGTGTTAAGAGGTAGTTGACCATATTCTAAAGAGAAATTAATTTCTATGTATACATTACACCATTTTGAAGGATTAATGTAAGCCAGGTCTAGGCAGAAATGTGAAGGAATTAACAAATTATGATTACTCTTTACTAAATCAATACATCTTCATAATAGGCCTCTTACATGGAAAACTCTCATCCATGAAGTGATTTTTGTAACTGGATGAAACAGGAATAGTCCAGTCTTGCCTTCTTGGTACCTGAAGTCCAGTGGAGAAAACATTTAATAAGAAAATTATCAATATACGAATAAAAGCTGTGATACATGCTCTTCAGGAAAATAGCAGAGTTCTATGAGGGAATATACTGGAGACTAGAATTTTGAGGTTATAGATTCCTAGGCAGATTGTACAACACTGCAGAAAATAATTGAAAAAAAAGAAAGAATTGAAAAAAGGCTACTATGGTTGTAGCCCAGCCACAGAGGTGGAGCTAGACCTGAGATGAGCCTGGAGTGAATATAGGATGAAAATGAGAATTGGCCATATCACAGGGCTTTGATGTCCAGCTCTAAATGGAGATGGTTTCAAATCTGTCACCTCCCCCCTCCTACTCACTTCATCTCCTGGAAAGTTACAGTATAAATGTGGTCATTCCTCTGAACTCTAATTCCATAATACAGTATGCATGAAATGGTTTGCATTCAAGAAGGCTTGAAAATTTCTGAAGTCTGTAACACTCTCAGGAGCTTTCAGTGCAAATTAACATATCCTAGATTCTGAGTTCCACAGTAAAAATAAAAAGAAACAAAACAAAACAAATACTTATGTTTATATACACATCTGTGTACATGCTTAAGCGTGTGTTTGTGTGCCTTTATTTAACTTAAAAATGTCCAAAGCTATTTTTGGGATTGTATTATGAATTGTTTCTAAAGGAAATAATCTTAAAAGATTTCCCTTACTTCTGACACTATTTCCTAGACACTAGATAACTCAAGCCAGGGTGGCAGAGGACTGTTTGCTTCAATGGTTTAGCTTTTTCCAGCAGAAAATGTTTCTTGATCTGAATTATATGATTAATTTCTTTAAGTCTTGATTATATTGTATATGTGAAAATAGCCTTGAGTTCTCATAAAGAGCTCTGGAGTAAGAGCTTAATAAATAATTTTTAAATTTTTTATTATCATATCGTTGTTTTGGGGGTACATTGTAACATTTACTGAAGTTCTTACAATATATCATAACTGAATTGATTCCTTTGATTATTCTCCATTACCCTCCCTCTCCCCATTCTTAGAATAGTTTCAGCAGGTCTCATTTCTCCATTTGCATACATGAGTACAAAATATTTCCACCATATTCACCCTCCTACACCCTTTCCTTTTATCCTCACCCCCCCCACAGGTATCAGTTCCCAGACAGGACCTGCTTTACCTTCTTGTCCTTCATTTTTGAAAAAAATAAACAGGTGTTTTATTGTAAGATATCTATTCAGAGAATTTCATTATGGCATTTCTATGTATATATGTGCCATATCCTGAATTGGTTCATCCCCTCCATTTTTCTGCTTTCTACCTTCATTGTCTTCTTATGGTGTTTTCAACAGGTTTAAAAATTCATTCTTGTATAGAGAGTACATCAACCATATTCACCTTCTTTGCTTTTTTCTCTTGCCTTCCCTCTCCCATTTAGTGTCCTCTCCTTTGCGTGGTCTGTTTGTCATTCTTGTCCTTTGTTGTTTGGGTCTCTGTTCACCGGTCAGTGGAAGTTTTGCTTTGGTACTTATCTGGACATGCACTGTGCTGAAGTCAGTGCAACCCCCTCCACTGCACTTCCTGACCTTGTGTTTAACAGTTTTCAGTGTTTCCTTGTGTCTTGTTCCCTCACAGGTGTGATGGATTTCATTACTATTCACTGGTTCCTTCCTTCTTTTCTTCCTCACTTGGTCTCATATACAGTCCCACTTTTGGGTACATGCTCTGTACATATTTCTACATGTATGTAATATTGCTTATATTTGCATTGGGCCTGCATTCCACACATGAGAGAAAAACATCTGTCCTTTGACATTCTAATGATTTTCTCCAATTCCATCCATTTACCTGCAAACAACAAAATTTCATTCTTCTTTATGGCTGAATGAAATTCCATTCACAATATTGCTTTTTTAGTCAGACAGACAGGGGGAAACCACAAAAAATATGTTTGCATCTCAGCTAATCAGACTCTTTACTTTCCATTGAAAATACGTATTCTTCTTGATTACAATTGTCATTAAGTTGGACTCCTAAAAAAGTGATGGAAATGACCTGGAGTAGTTTCTCCTTTAGTACTTTATGTTTTGCTCTTGTATAAAATGTGGAGATTTTGTACTTGTAGCAATAAAAGTCTCAAGACCCAGAGTTTGAGTTGGTTTATCCTTATCGCAGAAGAAAGAATAAGAAGAAAGGTTTATCCTTATTCAGCATCACATCAGAGTTTTGACTTCGATTTTTTTGTTTATTTGTTTTGAGTTTTGGCTTTTAAAGGCCAAGTCAGCATCTTTCAATTTAATTAGTTATTATTTAAAAAGAAAAAATTCCCAAATAATTCCCCAGATTTTCAAAACTCAGAAACAAAAAGTCTTGTTTCATTTCCAGAAAGATCAAAGATGGCTGCCTTCTTATTACTACTCTTGCCATTTACTTTTTGCTAGAGATACAACTCAAATTTGGAATCTACATAGAAGTCTTAACTGAAAATGTCTTTAAAATACGGAAAAGAAATAAACAGTACCAATGTGGAAACAGAAAAATAGGGAAAAGACCAGAAATGGTGATATTCCAGCCAGATTGAATAATCACCTCTGTGAAAATGAGTTGTCTGCGGAGAATACAATATCTGTCTCCAAACTGAACATCAGTTACCTCTTTCATGAGGAATGTTCTCAAACAAATTAAGAGTCTCTCTTCCGGAATAAGCATGAGTCAACTCTAATTCTCTCGGTCCTGAAGACATATTTCTGAAAGTACAAAAACTCCATATTTTATACAAGATCAAGGCATTTTTGAAAATACTAAACTAGGCCTTATACCAGCTTATTTGCCTCACTTTCAGATTTTTTTTTCGGAGCCTAAATTATGAGAGTTTTATTTAAAAAAAGAAAAGTAGCCTTAAAGTTTTAAAGACTGGATTAAATGCCAGATCCCTAATTTTCTGCATGATCCTGAACAAGTTTTGTAACTATTCTCAATCTCCATTTGCACATCTCTAAAATGGGATTTTCAAATCTCATTTTTCAGCATGATTTCTATTTTGTTTTTCTCTTGACTTACATACTGACTGGTAGGCAGAATCAGATGTAGATAAGCAGTATTGCATTCCAGAAAGGAAGAAGAAAGAAGGATGTAAAGCAGGAGAGAAGGCTGACTTTCAGAATACATTATAATATCTAGTACAGAACATTACAAGTAGAAAAACATTTAAAACATGCCATTGCTTCTATACAGTTGAGAAAAAGACTCAAAGACAGATTCATTAATCCTTTTACTCATACTATATTTTTCTTGTGGATGTTCTGCATTCTGGTATACAGATTGTCAACTCAGAGGAAATGTAACGTATTATTTCTGAATTACACACAGAACTTTGGATGTTACTAGGTATGGTAGGTGTCCAATTAGCATTTGGTTGATTGAGTGACCTTACAGTGCCAGGAAATAAATAACCCCAAATGCCCTATTCTCTGGCTTATCCGCACCAAGTCTAATATCAGAGTAAGAGTAGTTTGCTTTCCTGTGAATTATTTCGCTCAATCATAGCATGTGCACCTCCTGCTGGTGCATGCACTGCTCCCATCAGACTGGACAGTTTCCTATGCTTTGTATTCATTCCACAAGCTTAGATTTTGTCATTGTATTACTAATATATATATATATATGTATTTTGTGGTACTGGGGTTTGAACTCTGGGCTTTGTGCTTGCTAGGCAGGCGGTCTACCACTTGAGCCATGCTGACAGCTCTTGTTGCTCTTTTTTAGACAAAGTCTCACTTTTTTCCCTAGCCTGGCCCAGATGGTTATTCTCCTATTTACACTTCCTGCCATAGCTGGGATGACAGGTACACATCAACACTCCCAGCTTTTTCCTTTGAGATGAAGGTCTCATATTGGTTTTGCCCCTGCTGGTTTGGGACTGTGATCCTTTCCATCTCAGCCTCCTGTGTAGCTAGGACAACAGATGTACATCATTGTGCCCAGCTATTAGTTGAGATGGGATCTCCTGAAAATTTCCTCCTGACTGGCCTGGAACTACAATCCTCTAGATCTCAGCCTCTCAAGTACCTAGGACTGCAGGCATGACCCAGCAGCACCCAGAAATATTCCTTTTTCTACTACCCTTCTCATTCTTCATCCCTTCTTTTCCTCCCATTCTTTTCCTTCTCCCCTTTTTTCATTTGTCCCAATTTCCCCCCTTCCACTCCCAAATTTTTGACGTACAAATCTTTTAAAGTAATAGCAAATATCATCTCCATGAAGCAATCCTAGGTCCCCCTAAGACAATTACATTACTACTTTTGATATTTTTTCATTTGTTTCTTTTCAGGTACTGCCTTTGTTCCCCATCAGTGGAAACTGAGTTTGACACAGAGCCAGTGAAAACTGAGACACATAACATGTTGATGCCTCTTTCCTTCTATTCTCTTCTCCATTCCATTACTCTTCAACCACATGAGTTACCCTCTGGATACTCTTGTGGCTAGTTGTTCTGCTGGTATCTTTGTCACCAGGTGGATGGAAGAATTCAGGCCATGAGCACCAGTCTGCAGTCACATCAGTTACCTGAGTCAAGTTGGCTCTGTGAATGGTTCTCAATTCTTGCTCCTTAATCCTTTAAGTCAGGAGCCAGGGCTCT